ATAAATCAAGAGGCAGCGCCCAGCCATTCATTGATTCCTGCGTGAGCCATGCGGAAGCGCTGCCACAGCGACTTGTGCAAGGAGGTCTGCAGATGAGCCCGGAGGACGCAGTGGGCTAGAGAGAGGGAGTTAGCATAGCGATAGGGTAGATGCAGCGACAGCTGCCATAGCGGTAGTTAGTAGTGAGTGTGTGTGTGTGTTCGAGTGTTAGAATGATGCGTGTGGGATATCCAGGGTGATCCAGTGTATGTGAACAGTGAGATGTTTGGGCGCTGAAGTCGCCATAGCCAATTGAGAGTGAACTCGTATCTGAAAACCATATATCTGATTTTTGAGTGGGCGTATGTCGCCAGTATGCTGCGTTGCTGTTTACATGCATGAAAAGTGTGTTTGAGAACAAGTCTGATTGCATGTCTACCGAAGGTGGGCGTGGCACTGCTCCCAATATACAACCAAGGTGAACCCAGTTTCATCTGTCTCTATCAAGTCTTATCTAACGATAGTATGACCTTCCTAATACCTGGATACCCCCCGTGCCCCCCCGCCCCTCCCCCCGGCGCCCCAATCACTTGCTATTCTAGGTCTACACTAGTTCTTGCTTTGCACTCTGTATCACTCGAAACAGCACGGACATCCGTCCCTGGCAGTACTACAGTAGTACTCTCCACTTGGCTATAGGCCTGTGCTATTTTGTTATTTGTCTGTCCGACCGGGGACCAGGCCAGGTATTTGTCCACTCCGGTACCAGGTAGGTAATAATCCAGTCTAACACAGTCTGCTGGGGGTATACCACAGCTGCAGTCTGTACATTTCATTCATTTTGCATTTCAAGTCTTGGAGTTTGGTTGTGTACAGTGTGAGTCTATGGTGTGTCCTGTGTGCTCTCGCCGTCTTGCTTGATCAACCTTCCTGCTCCACCTCCTATCTCCATCATATCCTCTTGCAACCCCTCTTCTCTGCTGGACGACCACGCGTTACAGAAAGGCAAATAAAAGCGTGGGCAGGCTGAGAGGCTGACAGACGTACAAACAGCCTGAGATACACGCATCAAGAAACACAACCGGGCAGCAAGATGGGGAGACAAATAGAGACAAAAAGACATTCCTGAAGCGGCTGACAAACTGTGAAGCCGATGACCGAAATGGACAGAGTGGAAGACCAGGACACTTACAGATTTGTAAACGGACAGAGTGGATGAGACAGTGACATATTGACAAATAGACAAAGTGTAAGAGAGGAGAGTTAGTCGGAATGACAAAAGAACCCATAACCATAGCCAGAAAGACAGACTAACCGACCTATAGACTGCCGGACTGCTGACAAAGAGAGAGGTGAATGACCTTTACCCTCTCCTGCTCTCTGCCAAAAGCATGCTTCAGGGTACAGTAACTATGCTGTTTGCTCTTTCTGAAGCACCGGTCCCAGCGGTCCGTGAACAGCTTGAAGGTGCACAGGCTAACCCACTGACCTTAAGTTCCATGGATGTGTGAGCCTGCCTGCCGGCCCGAAGTGAAATTATTCACGGTAGAATGCGTTTAGTGGCCCACAAAAGAAGAGCACTGGTAAATTGGACCTCATCTGTATTGCTTGGTTACACCATGAATGCTGACCCGCTCTATGCAGACACCCTAGCCTGATGGCCTGCCTGTTTTGTGCTCCAGTCAAACATCATGTTTACTTGCCCATGCCTTAACCTGTGGGTGAGATGCTTGTCATAAAGCTAAGTACCATTCATTGAGCCAAATACCATTTCAGTGCTCAGGGGCATGCTTAAACCACCAGCACATGGCCCCAGCCTTGCTGAAAAAAAAACTCGTCACCTACGAATATTTTGGAGTCTCAGCTTACCGGACCACCATGGCTGGTGGCGCCAGCCAAAAAAGAAAAACAAGTGCGCCGGTGGGGGTTCGGAAAAGCTTGGCGCGCAGTAAAGGCACCTGCAGGCCGCGGTGTACTGGTGCAGTGGTTTAAACCACAAGTACCGGGGACCCCTTCCTTCATCCTCTGTGGGCCTGTGAATGCATTTGAGTTTAATCGGGCGAAGGCAGACTCGTACAAACATCGAAGGCTGGCGTGGTAACGGGCGGCAAGGCAGATCAGATCCTGCACCCCGACCTTTCCGGAGCAGATCACAAAGCTACTCTTCAGCACTGCAGGTATCATGCCCAGCGCCTGGACAAGAAAGGTGCCAATTGCTAAGCCTTTTTTCTTAAGTATCTTTATGCTCTTGGAGCTCACAAATTGAATACGAATTTCACATTTTCTGCTTCATTCGTTGGTGGGCTGTGTTGATTCCAGGAAATGTCACGGCTTTCGGACTATGGTGTGCACCAGTGTAAGTACCACTAGCATGGTTTCGCTCTCAGTGTGCCACAACACACATACAAGTTGTTGCTGTTTCTGAGAGATGACCCAAAAGTGGCTTTTTGGCCACCTGTGGGTAGAGTTCTGTTTTTCTGTTGGAACATAATGAGACCTCAGAAGACATGCTCGAAGAAATCAACGCTCAATCGCATGCAGAGAGAGAGAGAGAGAGAGAGAGAGAGAGAGAGAGAGAGAGAGAGAGAGAGAGAGAGAGAGAGAGAGAGAGAGAGAGAGATGGACGGACAGATAGAGTGTGCATGTACAGACTGGTGGATGAATGGTTGGATGGAGGGATGGAAAGCGTTGCTGGTTCTGAAATGTAGATGGATCCGCATGGATGAAGAACCGCCTTCGCGTGGAATGCAGCCGGATGGATGGGCAGATGGATTGATGGAGAACCTTGCTGATTGTGGAATGTGGGTGCAGATCGGTGGATGGAGAACCTTATTGGTTACCGTTATGCACTGTGGACCAGCATCATTTTGGGGGCTGTTGGCCACTGTGTGACTGCTTGATTGGTTTGTCAAAACTGTTTTGTTGTTGGCTTGCTCCTCCTGTTCTGTGAATTATGAAAGCAAGAGGTGACTTTATGCTCTCACCGAGTCCCACGTTGTTAGACAATTGTTCACACGAAGCCACTCCCCTTTTTGGAGTTGGAAATTGGTTGGGCTGAGGTTTGGAAATTGGTTGCTTCGCCTTTCGATTGGCAGGCCCACATTCATCAGGGTTGTGAAGGAGAAGGAGGTCGGCGATTTCTCCATTCTGCCTTATGTTGCCACATGGGTGAACTGTGTGATTTGGCTTTACTATGCGCTGCCGATGGTCTCAGATGACAATGTGACCCTTGCAACCATCAGCGGAATGGGGCTAGCTTTCTCCACGGTTTTCGTCCTCATTTATCTCATATACTGCAAGCCGAGCAAAAGGGTAAGTTACCCCATAGCTGAACAGTATGTACACGCGAGTGATGTGACTGTTGATAACCAGCTCATGTGTTCAAATCCTGATGAACACAGCACTGCAAGGGCCGACCGGCCTCATTTCTTCTTCTTCTTCTTCTTCTTCTTCTTCTTCTTCTTATCCTTCTTCTTCTTCCTCTTCTTCTTCTTTAAGAATTGATTATTTTGATGGTCCCTGTGCCAACTTAGCAAGGACCATAGGCCTCCAGACTGTAACCGCAGACAGAGCCCTCAGCCCTGCCCCTGTTGCTTACTACCGGTAGTAGTTACTACACCTAGCCAGGAACATCTTCATGCCTATCAATGCTCAACTTCAAACCGCACCTCTCTCTACTTGCAAAGTAACTCTCTCTCCCGAGGCCCTGCTCACTCTCTTTCCAACCTTAGGCTAGGGAGCAGACACAAGCCGCAACAAGAAAAATCCTGAGAAGGAAAAATTAGAGAGATTGTGATCAAGCAGCACCTCATTTGACTTGACCAAATTGACAAACCACTACTCAGGATGCGCTCATCAAGAGAGAGACTGGTCATGCAACAGCATGAAATCAACCAATGCAACTGTTTCTAGCTTATTCAGATGCACCGCAGAAGGGCCCTGTCACTCGATACCCTTGCCATTCGTTGACGTTTCTGTAGAATTCCTTAAACCACCCGTAGTTTTCTGTAGAATTTCTTTCTTAAACCACAAGATTAAACATGGGTGTCATGGGTAGCCTGCGTCACCTGGATAGTACGGCAGTCACAGCCTTGGGTCAAACCGTACACCCTGGCAACCACGACCTTGGGGCACACGGTGCTGTGTTGCTTCACAGCGCACCGCCATCGCCACACACACCAACTCTTTGTTTTTTCCTTTCCTTTTCTTCTTTTTCCTTCTTGTGTCTGTTTTTGCTTTTTTCTTTCCCTGAACCACGAGTGCCTCTCCCAGCTATGTGTACGGTGGTGTCATGGTTCCTCATTATTGAAATTAACAGTTATCAACCTTCTTCTTCTTCTTCTTCTTCTTCTTCTTCTTCTTTTTTTATTTCTATTTATAACATTCTCTTGGGTAATGAAACGGTTTCACCCAGTAGACCCGACATTTGCAGACACAGAGCTTCGATCCCTAGACCTCTGCCCAAACCCTGTACATTGACCCTGTGTGCTGAGTGAGATTTGATCCCTAGACCTACCCTGTACCCTGTACATTGACCCTGTGTGCTGAGTGAGATTYGATCCCTAGACCTACCCTGTACCCTGTACATAGGCCCAGCGAACTGTGTGAGAGTCAATCCCTAGGTCTGTAGGTTAGGAGTTGAGTCTGTTACCAGTAGGCCTACAAGAGTCTGTTCTAGAAGTCGCTACCTAAGTCTACTGTGGGCCTAGAGTCTGTCTGTCGGTCTGTAGGTTGTAGAAGTCCGTAGGTCCCTGTAGGCAAGTAGAGTCAGCAGGTACCAGGGGTAGGGGCTGCACGTGGAGAAAAGGGAAGGCCCACGCGTTCTGGAGAAGTCTCCAGAATACGCGTTTTGGCCCAAAGGCCCACGCGGTTTGGAAGCCTCCGGACCCGGGCCTCACACGGTTTGGAGGCAGGACTGGGTACCTCCAAAGAGGTATAAATAAAGAGGCAGCATCCAGCCATTCATTCATTCGCCTGTGAGCCATGCGGAAGAGCTGCCTTGGTATCTTGTGCGTGGAGGTCTGCAGGTGCCCGGTGAGGAAGTGAGCAGTGAGGAAGACAGCGGCCGTAGCTGGCCAGTGAGGAAGACACCGACGGCCATGGCTAGGGGGAGAAAGACGATGGCGGCCATAGCCGCCCAGCTGTTGGTGCAGACAGTGTGTACAGAGATTGTGTGTGTGTGTGTAGCATGGACATTCAGGGTGATCCCCGTACGTGCGTGCATGAGGGAGAGTGAGGCTGGTGGTTGAGACTGTGTTCGGCGGCCATAGCTGCAAGTTGTACAGTTGTTTTGAACAGAGTTTAAGTGCAAGTTCATTGTTGATTCTGAGTTGAAGAGTTTGGCTCTGCCATCAGTCCTGTGTATGCATGTTGTGAGCAAGTCTGAAGTCGAGTCCGATTGCAGTAATGCTAGGAGTGCTGATAGGAGCAGACAGTTAACGGTTATCAACCTGACTCAGACAGGCCTGTACGCCCACCGAGCGCTGGACTTGTTTACAAGTGCAACTGTCTTCTTTTTCTTATAGAAGAAAAGTTAGAAAACTTTATTATACAACAAGCGCAACAAGCACAACTTTGGGATCTATTTTTGGGTTAAGTTCTGTTGTTTTGTCTGGCTCTGCTTTCTCAGTTTGGTTTTTCTTTTTTTTCCTTTTCTTTACTTTCTCCTCCTTTTTCTCTGGAAGAAAATCATTGCAAATGGGCCCCTGTGCTCAAGGAATACATCATCAAGAACAGAGAGCTATTTTTGGGTTAAGTTCTGTTGTTTTGTCTGGCTCTGCTTTCTCAGTTTGGTTTTTCTTTTTTTTCCTTTTCTTTACTTTCTCCTCCTTTTTCTCTGGAAGAAAATCATTGCAAATGGGCCCCTGTGCTCAAGGAATACATCATCAAGAACAGAGAGCTATTTTTGGGTTAAGTTCTGTTGTTTTGTCTGGCTCTGCTTTCTCAGTTTGGTTTTTCTTTTTTTTCCTTTTCTTTACTTTCTCCTCCTTTTTCTCTGCAAGAAAATCATTGCAAATGGGCCCCTGTGCTCAAGGAATACATCATCAAGAACAGAGAGTCTCAACAATGGTCTATATGTCTCCAGCCTGTCACCTCAGGCAGAGCACCACCCCTGTAGTATACAACTCATATACTAATGATCAGCACTACACATCCGACGAGCACAGACAGTGGCTTTCTCTTTTTTTTTTTTTTTCCTGACAAAGCTGGCTCCATTCTATTAGTGAGGAGCACCACCTGCTGGAAAATGGGTTCACCGTCCCAATCACAAAGTTACGATAGAATTGGAGGTACAGACCTCGTCAGCTGAAATCAGCCTCCAGACACTGTAATACAAACTAGACTGCTGCAGTATTTGTATGGATTGTGTGGCTATGTCCTAGGGTCCCCTTTCTGGTCTGTGAAGGACTTAGGAGATTAGCCAACTTATAATATTTCAGCGCGGTTGGTAGTATGGGGGTTTCTGTTCAAGTAGCCAAGAGCATATTACCTGTAGCCTTGTAAATGTACATTTTGTCACGAGTCGGTAGTTGATAGCTCAAGTATGTATGAACCAATTGAGATCAGGACCTCGATTTAGGGCTCTGGAGGTTCCTTGCCAGTCATCCCAGATCATGTTTTTCATCATTAGATCTGAGTACCAAAAGGATCCCTTAAAAAGTCGATCATTTCCCTGCTTCCAGATTGATGCATATGTGGCTGATCTGAGTGTGAGCGCTACGTAGCCCCAGCCTTTTGTTGGGGAGATCTGTGGCGGCAGGATACCATCTAACACAAAGTTCTCAGACCATGCAATGGAATCTGAGGCAAAGGCTTTCCAGTAGCTTTCCCATCAGGGCAAGATCCATTTAGACTGTTTGCATTGCCACCACAGAAAGGTGTCCGCTGGTTTCTACCTGGGATCCACACCTGCAACAGATACTTGAAACTGGAAGCCAGTGGGCCATGGGAACAGCTCTGTGAGATTGGAGCCAAGCAGTGCTTGAGAAGTTCACTGATGGGAGTTGTTCGAGGGCACTCGAAATTCTTTATGTCTGCAGCATTGACTTCATAATTATTCTGTTCTTTTCTTGATTGGGTGCTCTGATAACCACCGACTTTTAGCTTCTGGGATGAATCTTAGAGAATGTCGCTGAAGGCTGTAACCCACTGATGGTGTATAGTCCCAGAAGGCAATTCCATACATAGGTTTTATGTCATGCCAGTAGCACTCGAGGGGATTGGTTCGAAGCTCTGTCGGACTGTGAGATAGGTGCTCTGATGGGGGGGAGAACCACCCATGCAAGGGAGATGGTGGTCTGCATCTCCCGAATATGGGGAAACAGCCATAGGTTGTCATGAAGCTTGACTCCTAATTATGTTCTTGTCCTGACGGGCGCTCTGATAACCATCGACTTGTAACTTCTAGAATGAATACTAGAGAATGTTGCTGAAGGCTGTAACCCACTGTTGGTGTATGGTTCCAGAAGGCAATTCAATGCATAGGTTACACGTCATGCCAGTACCACTAGAGGGGATTGGCTCGAAGCTTTGTCAGGCTCTGAGATGGGTGTTGATGGATGAAAGTGTGCTGATCCGTCCCTATATTGATTTCCTGGCAATTCCTGCACAATAATCTGCCTAAAGGCCCTAAAGAGGTTGAGTGACTCCGGTCTGATCAGCTGTCCTGTGAGTAGTAGGTGTGATTTGCCTGAGGCAGAGATTGTTGTTTCTGGAGTATTGAGGACAAAACCCTGAGAGTCGTCGCTGTGGGAGAGGCCACCTATGACTGGTTCCCCATATTCGGCGGTTGCTGACCATCATGTTCCTTCCAATGGCATGGGTGGTTCTCCCCCCATCAACAATTTCTGCCATGTCATGGGGATGCTTTGAATAATCTTTTCTAATTTGCTTTGAGCTCCATGAAGGCCATGAAGATTGACTCCGAGTCGAAATTCAGCAGCAGATTTCCACTGCTTGAGCTCCTTGATACGTATATCTTCTAGTCTTGAGACTCCCGGCTGGATCCATGCGCAACCGAAGCTTCCAGCTGCGTAATCTGCTAGCCATGGCTTCCCCTCTACATCTTTAAGCCAGATATTATGAAAAATATGTGACTTGAGGACCTCCACTTTGGTGGATGCTTGGGAGGGATTGTCTGACATGATGTGTGACCAACCCCTCATGATGTCTCTCTAGAGTCTAAGCTGGTAACGTGATTTTCTTCTTGACGAAGGATTTTGTGAGGAGGCAAACCCATACACCTCAGCCCTTGAGAGGTCTCATTCACTGGCAAGGATGGCCTCATCCAAGCCGATTCAAGGGTGACCTCTGTAGTCTGTGAGGGCTAATCGGCCATCTGGCCAAAAGGGCTGATATTTGGGCTGCAGGGTCGCGGATTCTCAAAAACCCTTCTCTTTTGGGCGCTGTGATTTTATGCCATGCTACTTTAGGTAGGTACTCGGAGTTTTCTGACACGAACCCTTTCCATGTGTAGTTGGTTGTCGATGCCTTGAGTTTCTTGTAGAGGTCGTAACTTAAATGGTGTCGGGGATATGCATGTCAGATAGGTGAGAAAACTGAGGAATTGAGCAGCAGGGCTCTTCCATAGGTTGATACACCCTGGAAAGAGCTAACACATTGTAGTTTGGCCAGTACTTCCCCTTCAACGATTGCATTGGGCTGGGGCTTGGAATTCAGCATACCCACTTGCACCCCAAGAAAGCGTTTGCATTTATCATGCGGAATAACTTTGAGACCCCAGTTCACACACACATGCACCCCAGGTTTTGTGATGACCACAGATTTAGACCAGCTGATTAAACCACCAGTACCTTTCCCAGCTATTTTTCAGAGGCGCGCCGGGTAACTCGCTGGCCTGAAATGGAAGGGCGGCCGCCGATAAATCCAATCGGCGGCCAGTCTTGCGGCCGACATAATATTATGGGAAAGGTACTGGTGGTTTAAGGTTTCAGGAAGGTGGGAGTAGATGTCAAGATAAGGTTTAAGGGCATGGAGGGAGGATGGTGTATTAGCTGAAAGGGCGAATAGATCATCGGCCATGGCAGATGCTTTGACTTGTGAGTTGGGAATGCGAAGGCCTTGAATATCCAGATTGGCCCTGATAAGGGACAACAATACCTCCATTCGGAGAACAAAGAGTAGGAGGGCAAGTGGACAGTCTCGTCTAAGAAATGTGGTAAATTCAAAAGTTTCTTATACAACGCCATCGTCCAGATGGCAGTAACACTCTCCCCTTCCAAGCAAATACAAGTCCAAGTGGGTCAGATTATAACCAGTGTCTCCCGTAGTGGCCCAGTGCGTCCTACCCATTTCTCACAATTTTCATTAGGGATTGTGTGCCTGAATATCCACGAGAGACCCTTATCTCAGCAATTTCCAATCTGGGTATCAGACAGTTGCAGCACGCCAGTTGGTTGAAGTGCAACCTGGGCCTCTCCCTGGGCTCCTTCCAGAAGCAGCAGCTGCATCAAGCAGTTGATCCCAGGACGCAGGTGGTTGCACCCTGGCACACACGGTGTGAGGCCGACACATCACGAAGTAGCCGTGGGCCAATGAGAATGCAGCATTGTCGTCACATTTACCCTGTGGGCCATGCAAACACGGCAAACACTTGGAGTCTGGAGGCATCCTGAAGGCGCCAACCGAAGAGGGCCCAGGCCCTTAACTGTAGGAATAGGCCTGGGCGCAGACACTGGGGCCCAACCGGAAGCTACTGGAAACTTCCTCGGCCAGGCCCAGGAAGCCCAGCAGGGCAGCTACTCCCATATAGGGAGGAGGCCAGCCTGAGGAGGTCATTCTGGCCTAAGCAGGCGATGCAGACACTCTGCTGCGTTGCTAGTGTCTGCGCTAGCACTGCTGGCTGGGGCGCATGCGGGCGCTATGAGGTGAAGAGGGGTGCTGCAGGGCAGCGGGGCGGTTAGCGGCCATAGCCGGGCTGCAGGGGCGCGGGCAGGTGATGGGCGACGGTGGTCTTCAGGGAAGGAGGCGCAAGAGTGGGTGGACAAGGTCTGATGAGGGGAGAAGACAGAACGTACCTGGTGTATGCGGGAGGTTGGCATTGGTGTTGACGTCATGTACATTGGTCTTCGACGGCGAAGTGATCCTGTTGCACGAATATAGATAGGCTAGATAGACTGGGTAGAGTAGGCTGGGCGCTAGGCGCCATACAGTAGGAGCAACATTGGATACTGCGTTGGTGTGGCCTGCGGGCTTGGACATTGGCTCACGAGTTCATTGTATCGCTCCTATGTCGATGGAATCTTGGTGCATTTATGCTCTCTGCTTGGTACATGACTATCTGGACTTCTGCATGATTTTGCTACTTGGTTTTCTGTCTATCGCTCTCGCTCTTACTCATCCGCGGAGAGAGAGAGACACACACACACACACACACACACACAGAGAGAGAGAGAGAGAGAGAGAGAGAGAGAGAGAGAGAGAGAGAGAGAGAGAGAGAGAGAGAGAGAGAGAGAGAGAGAGAGTGGCAGCAATAGCTGCCCATCATGTACAAAGCCAATAATGTGTAATTGAGTTGATTGATAGAGACTATCTTCAATTTCCTGCAACTGTGGTGTGGTGTGAAAGTGTGGTGCATGGATGGTCTGGAAGCTCCCCACAAACTTAACATTTTTTTTCCCCCTTTTCTCTTGGGGCTTACACTGTCACACATCTACTGTCAAAAAACGTTAATGAGGAGAAGAGGTCAGCCATCCTCACAATCAGCCAGGCCCAAGGTTTCTGTCACTCATATTATGGAAGTGTATTTCTTCCCGTCGATGAAGGTAACCTACGGTCCAGAACAGGGAATGTTGTGATTGGAAAGCATGAACCTGGATGTAAACAGCGTCCGTGCTTGCATAACAGCCTATTTACAGGCACATTTCACCGGTAAGGCCTCCCTGGGTTATGGAATCTCTTCAAAGAGGTGAACTCCAAGCCCAGTGCTAACAACAGGAGACACTCTGTAGTACCGTGCAACAGTAATTGAGGATCCATATCAGGGTCAATACCAGCACTTGCACCTCTAAAGAATGCTCTAGCGGCACACCCCCTTGAAGCGTGATTCAGGGATCAGAGTCATCAGATTGTGGAAGGTCGCCAGACTGAGGGTGAGGCCCAACGGGTGAGATGTTTGTGTTTGGAAAACATGAACATGGGTGTAAACAGGACAGGGTCTGTGCTTGAATGGCATTAACATAGCGCTCTTGGGGCCAAGGCCTTGCTGTAGAATTTCTCTTAAGACTTTCATGCCACTGCCTCGTGGATCTGTGCTCTGTTGCAGACGAAGGTCTGGGTATTGATCGCCTGCTCTGTCGCATTCGGAGCTGTTTTGGTTACTTCAACGTTTGTGTCTGCAGAGAAAAGTGAACGGTCGAAAATTGTGGGTGCTTTTGGAGTCGTCTCTGCTATTGGGCTATACATAGCGCCTACAATGATTGTGGTAAGTAGCTGATCCCTCATCCCTTTCTGTCACCATTTTTTGCTTTTTCCTTTTTTTAAAGGGGAAATGCCCGAAACACATTTGAATGATTTATTGTGTCCAGACTCCAGCTCCAGCTCCAGTTCCAGCTCCAGCACGATTTGAACCAGTGATTTGCAATGACCCGCACAGTTTCAGCGTGACATTTCTGCAGTGTTTTAGAGAATTGAAGTTTGTTGGTCTGCCTTGCTGAAGATTTCCAAGTTTGAGTGCATTTTCTATTTTGCCCATGCTAGTATGATGCTACCAAATCTTTATCCGGTGCTTGCTATGGACATCAACAAACTCTGTTCTCGTGCTGTGTTTTCTGTGTCCCCGGAACGTTAGAACGGAAAAGAAGAAGAAGAAGAAGAAGAAGAAGAAGAAGAAGAAGAAGAACGGTAAAGAGGTAGAGTGACAGGGGCAGGGACTGGAATTGGACACCAGACGGGCTTAGAAGGAAGTCTAGGATGGACGAGGACAACAGTAGAATTTGGCAGGTACTCAGTAGGATTTTCCAGCAGCTCGAGTAGGCCTGGAAAAGTCTGGTAGGCTTAGAAAGGTCCGGTAGCTTCCAAAGAGGTCATGATGGTCCACAGCCGGAATGGAGGTAGATATCAGGCTAGGTTCAGGCCCCGAAACTACCCGAAAGTGGATTGCAGACTGCCAAAAGGCAGGAATTCCTGGTAAGCGTACTGCACAAGTAGAGTCTGAAGTGCCCAGCAGTAAAGGCCAAGCGTGATGAGTATATCATTCTGTGAGATGAGTATGCCAGCACATTCACCTGGCATTATGTCATGCCTCTGACCTATGGGTGAATGCAGGGTGCTGCTGAGGGCAGCGCCATAGCCAGCCCTACATAGCCAGGGCTTGGCTTGGATAGCCAGTGGAGGTGGTGGTGGTCTTTGTGCATGAGGAGGAAGATGTGGGGGAAGAAGACGAGGGGGAGAGAGAGAAGAGGATGATGATGTGAGGGCACCTATCTGGTCTTGGCAATGGTCTGCATGGTTGACATCTTTATGTACTTAGGTTCTTGCTGCTGACGTCAACAGGATGGATTGTCAATTTGTAGGCAGTTGTAGCTGTGTGATCGTAGTCTGGGCGCTGAGCGCCAAGTAGGAGGAAAGGCTATGGATACATACATTGGTGCTGGGGAGAGTATGCTCTCATTGACATTTGGATTCGGTGCTTTAGTTCTCCGTTGGTGAAATATCAGTGCAGATCTGCTTTCTGGACAATGTTCGACTCTCTGGCTTCCAATGTGATTTTGCATTCTGGATTTCTATCATTTAGTTATCTCTCATTTTCCTTCCAATTTGGTATCAGAGCTGGTTCGAGCCGCTCCGCTGGCTCCTTTGCAATAGCTGTTTGGTGCTTCGTTGGGATATGGTGATGCAGTGATAACGCTTGTGCGTTGGTGTATAGGCAGCCCTGAGTCGTGAGGGCACGCCTGGAAGGCTATGTGGTGACATAGGGGTGCACACTGCATGATGAGAGCTTGCTGATATGGCATTTAAGCCAAGGTGGAACTGCATTGTATTGTGGGTTGTGCCGAGGCATGGACCGATCATCATAAATGCACGTCAGGTTACTTGTGAGAAATATGTGGTTGGGGGCAGCATTATGAGGTACGTTGCCCCCTACCTTATCTACCCTCTTCGTCACTTCTTACCGTGAGGAAGTGAGTCTTGTCTTCCGTATGAAGGAAGAGAACTGGTGTGCATTTATGATGATGCAACCTATGTGGAAGTGAGTTTTGTCTATCCTTATTCTTTGTTGCATACTGTAACGTGCAGACCAGAACAAGAACCGACCTTTCAATACAAAGTATAAGATAGCACAACGGAAGACTTAGATACCAGTGATCCGAACAATCAATGTTGCAATGCATCCMTGAACATACATCATCATCATCGTTACATGGTGTGAAWKGGGCCTGGCGCTTCACACAGGAAGACTGCGCCAGCCCATACCATACACAGACGAAGAGGAAGGGGATAGACGAAGAGGAGGGGGAAGATGGGAATGTCGTCAACACCAAGTCTTCGGCACAAGCCCAAATAGTACCTCGTCGAAATGTCTGAATCCCAAATGTCAAGTCTGGATCCAATGTCGTCAAGTCTCAATTCACAACTCTGTCTCTCTCTGTCGTAGTCTGAGAAGTCAGGTGGCGAGAGGGTGAGAAGAGAAGGTGGACTTAGAAGAGGAAGAAGAAGAACTCTCTCTCTCTCTCTGCGTCCAGTACTAACCTGTGAAGCTGGCGTCTTGATGCAGGTACCACGAAGATGGAACTGGAGTGATGGCGCCATAGGTAAGTACCACTGGCCTCCGCCAGTCTCTCTCTCCCACTCTACGATCTACCACCTACCAGCGCCCAGCGCTGAAGACTACAGCTACAGCTATGGCGCCCAGCGCCGAAGACTACAGCTAGCGCTAATACCACCTAGCGCTGAAGACTACTGCAGCGCTCCTCCTGAGTGCTGCGGCCGAAATCCTGAAGACTACCTAGTGCCTACCGAACTACCTACCCGTGAAGTGCATGGGAACTTCCTATGTACTACCGGGTGTGCCTCCTGAGCCTGCCGAAGGGAGGCAGGGGCTGCAGCTGCAGCTCCTGCTCAAACTCATGAGGAACAGGCTATTTCTGGCCTGTTCCGCATCCCTGTTTACGTGCCTGAGTCTTAGGGGCAGGTCGAAACAATGAGGGCCTGAAAATGGCCCTCCGTTTCAGGCTGAAAACTCTGGGTCTGAAAAGACCCAGAAATAGGCTGAAACGGGGTAGGGCCTGCAGGCCCTCGTTTTTCAGCTTTCAGGCTGAAACGAACGGGGCCTGTAAGCCCTAAGTTTTAGGCGTTTAGGCTGAATGTTCGGGACGGGGCCTGCAGGGCCCGTGTGGCTATGCAGAATGCCACATTCTTCTTCCGTCCGAAGAGAACTGGCGCACCATATGGTGAGTTACTAGGGCGGATCCAACCCTTGTCCAACAAGTCATCGCGTTGAGCGTGGAGAACCATGAGCTCTTCCTCGCTCATGCGATAGATGCAACCTTTTGGCGGCACGACACCGGTGTCAACAATGATCTCATGGGAGATTGGTCGATCCGACACCACGCCAATATGAGACTCGAAGACGTCGGCGAACTTGTCAAGCAACAGCACCACGCGGGGGTCTGAAGACAAGTCCGTAGGTGAAGATTCAGTCGCTGCGATGGTTCGAAGAAAACAAAGGCCGATCTCCTTGGTTCACTCGTAAGCACAAGTGGCCCGAAAAGATTTGGCCGTCACAACTTGGCACTGGATCGAAGGGTGCAGAAGAGGAATGGTACACATAACTTCGGTGCCGAAAGCATCACGAACGGTAAGTGTCCGCCAATGGAAGTTGATCGTGTGGTCTGCACTCGCGAGCCAAGGCATCCCCAAAATGATGTCGAAGTCTGTGTCTAAGACGTCAAATGTGACCGGCTTGCATGCATGGGGTGCGAAATAAATCAGCACAACCTCGATATAGCGATCAAGAAGTTGTTGCGTGTGACCATCCGCCATCTTGACTGTCGTAGGATGTGACTTCCTTCGAACTTGTGCACCAAGGTCGGCCCTTTGTATAAAGAACTGGCTCATGAAATTGCGAGTCGCACGGCTATACAGCAAAGCTCTGCAGGACGCTTGCCCAACTTGGATGCGTACATAAAGAAGCGGTGCGTTATTGTCGTCGTACCACTGCGTGCGAAACTCGTGGGCCACCTTGGTGATACACGCAAGGAGGTCCCCCACCACGGCTTTGTCCTCCGTTAGCGAAGTTGGTGGTACATAGAAGGACAAATATGTGTGGAAATGGGCGCATAGTGCTGCGCATTGTTGTCCCGGTAAGCGGCCCATGGAAGGGAGACAAAGCCATGCAAAATCCTCTGGCGCAAACGAGTCCAAGACGTCCAAGTTGAACTCGCGTGCCGAATCCCTTGAAGAATCACTTGAAGACGAACTGGCGCCACTACCGGACATAGATGAAGCCGCGCACACACCTTGTCGTTGAGCTAGGAAAACCCCGCGATGGAACGAGTTGGGCAGCATAGTCCTCGAAAGAATAAAGAAGATGGTTTACGACTTCCGTATGTGCCTCGAAACTAAGGGAGGTTGCTCGCTAAGCAACCGGTTCCGAAGGCATCGAGAGTGCAGCCGTTTCACTCTCGGCGGTGCTCACTTTCCCAAATGGGATTTCCCCTTGGCCTTCGTGGGGCAATTTGCGGTTTCATGTGCATCGTTGTTGTACCACAAGCAATAGTGGTACCTGGTGCAAATTTTGTAAACGTCTTCCGAGATACCATAATGGAGCCAAAGTTCTTGAATTGTTGTGCCGGTCCCAGGGGATGAAGAGGTGGTTGTCTTCAGTTTGTTGCGCCCTTGACCCTTGGTCGGGCGGCCACCATCCCTTGCAGCTGCTAAGGTATCTCCCTCGTCTGATGAAGCAGCCTCATTAGAATTGGTCGGCATTGTTGTTTCGACATCGGTCACTTTCGATAATGAGTGTCTCCAGGACTTGCGTTAAGGCATTTTGCAATGCCGGACACGACTGCGTAATGAAGTAGTGCTCCACGCCCGTGAAATGGATCGGCAAGTCGGGCATGGATGCCAAGCGTTGGTACTCGGCGATCCAATCCGTGCTCAACAAGGAGTTTTGGCATAACTTCTGCAGTTTCTTCATCGCCTGGTGCTCGGGCGGTTCCACTTGGATCGAAGGTTGTCAAGCCATGCTTGACATGCGCCACCCGACCAGTGATAGAGACATCCATGTCGGTTGGTGTCACACACATTGTATATATGCAAATGCAACTCGAATTGCCGCCACCACGGAAGTGGATCCGTCTTCGATGCATCGCAGAAGACCAGGATGTCATCCGACTTGGGCACGCGTTCGGGAGGCGAAGCAGCAGGACTTGCAGCTGCTGCTCGGATCTGTTGATCCAACTGTTGGTTGGTTGTGTGCTGCTGCTTCATGGTGTCTTTCATGGTGCCTATGTCCATCTCCAATACATTGACTCGATCTGCCAAGTTGAAGGGTCCGGCAGGTGTGGCTGTGGCAGGCTGTTGTTCCAGCCTATGCACGTGGTCGCGCAGGTCGGCAAGTGTCGGCAGGTGCTGCTTGACCAGCATGGCTAGGCCAAGGATGTCCTCCTGCTGGGTTGTGCATGTGGAGACTAGATTGGTCACATGTGTGTGTGTGTCTGCCATGCTGCGCACAGCCTCGGGGGCCTCCTTGCCTTCTGCAGCCTCCTCCCATTCGCCGGCTATGGCTTCTATTTCCTCCTCCTCGCTAACAAGTGTGTCTCGGCGTTCTCGGCATTTTCTCATTTGCTTGCTTCTTTGCTGCTTCAGCGTCCGCCTGTCGCAGTTGCTCAGCGAGGCGACGCTGTTTTTCTGCCTCCTCCTCCTCCTTTTTCCTTGCGGCAGTGGCCTCATCTGCCCGCTTCTTCCACTCGGCTAGTTGGTCCAACACGCGGGCCTCATAGGCCTCCTCAGTTTCCCCTTGCTTCTGCTCCATGTCACCCGTCTATGATCGGGTGACAGCTGGCATATGCTGGGGGAGCCTGTGGCAGGGGCTGACGTGGCACTTGCTACTGCTGACGTGGCTCTGGTCGGATGCTGATGTGTCACGGCTGTCTGCTGACGGGCCTCTGGTGATGTGTCACGGCTTTCTGCTGACGTGGCCTGATGACGTGGCAACTCACCAATGCTGCAGCAGTAGAGAAGAAAAAGACAGATGGGGAAAGAGGGGAGAAGAGAATGGAGCAGCGTAGATGGGGTGGGTGGGAGGAGAGAGAGTGGTAAAACTAGCACTTCCACACCCCCATGGGGTCACATTGATCGCCCAGATAAGGAGCCACTAATCAAATTTTGAAAAGCTCGAACTTTGCTTTTTCAAAAAAACTTTTGAGAAAAAATAAAAAATTTGAAATCGCAAGTTCGGTAGGTCCCCAATCCCAAAAGCCCCGAAGTTGAAATAATATTAATATTACGTTGCATAATGTACACATATGTGGCCTTTCCGTATGAAACGTACAGGTAATATCTGTATGGGATCTGTACAGGAACCTGTACGGGAACCTGTACGTCTTGTACACCCCCATATGAAAAGAAAAAAAAAAGTCATAAAAAAAAATTAAAAAAAAAAAGTGATGCAACAACACAAAACAGGTAACATTTGGCTGAGCATCATCTGCAGATTCTTATTAGATTTTGAGAAAAAAAATAAAAAGTTGTACGGGGCCCCTAGCATACGAGTACAGGAGTACGAATCCGAACTCGTACGAGGGTGCGTACAAGTGGCAACGCAGATTATTAATAATAAGGCCCAAAACGTGGCCTCTGTCAGAAAAAAGTCTGTTCGGACGAACTGCAAGTCCGAAACAACGCCTGAACAGAGAAAAGTAGGACAACAAATAAATAAATAAATGAATGCTGCCTCAAATCGAATTCTGTCGGCCTAAGGCCGGCCGTGGGCCTCCAGGGCGCATGCTTGAACGGCGTGCGGCCTGGGGCCCCCAGCAACCGTCCGGCCCCCGAAAGGGGGCCTGTGTGCAGGCTCAGCATGTAACCCTTATGCTTCCCAATGTTGTCGTCTCTATTTCATACTCCTTACTTTCCCTTGGTCTTATTTTTTTTAAATCTTTCGCTCTCTTTGTTTCTCCATACCCTGTGTCCCCTCACCTCTTTCTGAAGGGTGCAAGTGGGGTGCTCTATGGCACACATGGGTGTAAGCAGCTCGCACTGAACTGCATCAACGTGGCAAGCCTTGCACTTGAGAGGCACGGCAAAAAGAGATCTGGAAGGAGGAAAAAAGAGAAACCGTGATAAGAGAACAAAAGTAAGAAAGAAAAGAAAGAACTGCATAAAAAAGGGAAAAAATAATGGTTTCAGCTTGCCTCATGCTTTTTTTTTCCTTTTCTTTTTCTTTTTTTAAATCCAAAAACGTCCCTTTTGGATGTTAGAGGTGCTGTCTGCTCTTTTCATCATTTGTTTCCCAAAACGGGCTGAATAATATTGAATATGTGACAATATATATATAGGACTACACATATAGTTGGCAATTATAACTAATTCTAACATTGTCTAACAATAGGTTAACATAATTAGAAATCTAGAATTAAAAATAATGTAATACAATGATGTCAAAGCCCCACACCAATTTCAACAGACAAGTGATATCAGCTGACCATAGTTCTTTTGACGCAGCCTACTTGCCTGTCGATCTGTTTTTTGTTGCCTGACTAATCTCCTGCTTGTTGGTTGTTTTGAACATCTCGTCGTGACTCTTCTGTTATCTTCTACTATCAAACAACAGGGACATGTGATCCGAACGAAGAGTGTGGAGTACATGCCATTCCTTATTTCACTGAATGGCCTCGTCAACACATTTGTCTGGTCAGCATATGGGCTCTGTGCCTTGGACATCTTTGTTATAGTAGGTTATCATCTTCTCCCTGCGCATTTCTTCTGTTTCACATCTCTATCCCTATCCCTATCCCTATCCCTATCCCTATCCCTTCCCTTCCCTATACTACTAAAGGAAACAGCGGTCCTCGCGTGGGGCCCAACAGAAAACGGGTGCCGCAGGTGGTCTGCAGGTTGCCCGAAGACGAAGTGGGCTGAAGGGAGATCGTAGCCATAGTCAGTAGTGGTAGTGCGGCCATAGCCGCTGTAGGAGGAAGATAGACATAGTGCATGTGTGTGGTGGTATTCAGGGTGATCCAGAGTGAGCGTGTGTAAACAGTGGGGTTGGACAGAGTGACGAAGGTTGGGATGTTCAGGCGCTGATGCGCCATAGCCTGCTGAGGAGAACTTGCGTCTGAACTGTGTTCTTGAGTTCCATATCTCTAAGCTTTGAGTGGGCGCCCTGCGCCAGTATGAATCTCCATCTGTTTGCATGTGTGCGAAGTGGAAGGAAATCGAGTCTGATTGCAAATGAATCTTCCGCTATAACATTGAAATATAC